GTGTGTGTGTGTGTGTGTGTGTGTGTGTGTGTGTGTGTGTGACTGCGTGCTCCTCAGATATCCTGCTGATTGAGCTTGTGCTTCTCAATGTTCAGCATTCAGCTTTCAAGTTGATGGTTGAATTGATATTTCTTACCCCGCTGTGTTTACTGTTTGTGTATCTGCTTGTATTCGTAGGGTTGTTGTGGGAGTGTGTCTATATCTGTACAAATCTACTGTACAGCACGTGTGTGTGTGTTTGTACTAAACTGCTGGTTTGGGCTCAGCAAAGCGAAATCTCACCCCTGCTCGCCTTTCTCTTCCTCACTGTCTCCCAGGGGTGCGGTTTGTGAGCTGGGAGGAGGTATGACTTGTCTCGGTGGCCTCATGGTAAGTGACACACAAGCATCTTCACATACACAGATTTCTGCAACAAAATAAATAAATAAAAACAGTTTGGCTTCTCTAATAAAACTAATCATCACCAATCAATGCACACACACAGCATGGCATACAGTGTCCTTATCTATTCAGATGCTATCGTTCAGTTCTCCTGTGCTGGAATGTGCATTTGTGTTCGCCAACCTTCAGGTGTATATGCATGCAAACACTTCACTTACATAAAATTAATTAGTTTAGTCTCTTCAGTTTAGTGTTAATTAGGGAGCACACTGTGTCTAAATGTAGCTCCTATTTGTTTGCGTTCTTGCTGAATTTAGAGTCAAGAACTGACTGATCTTTTCCTCATGAAAAGACTCGGTAGAAAAGAGGAGCATTTAAGGTTTTATGGTTAGAAAAACACTTGACTGTGTGAAAACCACAATCACAGTAATTGCAGTGCAGCTGAGCAGCAATGCATCTTCCCGTTGGCGTCCTCGTAGTTTGGATAGATATACTAACAAGTTATCTTCGAAGCTGCACACAAACATCCACATGCACACTGGTTCTCAGATACACTGCGGTCTGACAGTTATAGGGTTTATTAGACTGAAGGGCCCCTCCACACTGCAGGCTTCGGTGTCCCATCGATTTGTTAGATGCCAGTGTGTGTGTGTGTGTGTGTGTGTGTGTGTGTGTGTGTGTTTGTGTGTGTAAAATGCCTGGTTTTATCTCTAAGCGGTCAATACACCATGTTTTGACATTGGTGGCCTGAGATGGAATCCCTCCTTCACACCTCTCCTCCTCCTCCCTCCTTCATCACTGACACCAGGCTCACCACATTGTCTTGATTGTTCATTAGATATTGCACAAGTTTTGCATTCTATCACCCCATTTATATATTTTGTTCCCTGTTTTATTTATAAACTTTCTCATTACCTTTATTTGACCAGTTAAAAACCCATTGAGATCAAGATCTCTTTTCCAAGGGTGACCTGGCCAAAAGGATCAGCAGTCACAAATTATAGAACAGTGATAAAAACAATAGCAATAGGGGATAAAATACAATTATTTTACCCACAAAAATGTTTGGTTTTTATTTAAAATATACAGACATTGCATGATTTGATGATTATATGTTTCTTCACTTCCTGTGTTCTTACTGCGGGTATCATAATTGCGATGTCAGCAAAAATCTCTTACCGAAGACTCTTTGCATGACTTCGTCAGTGAAAGCTAATTGATGTACAATGTCTATAAGTTTATAAGAATGCATGAGATGTTTGCCTTCATAAAATTGGTTGTTTTATAAAATCTTGCTGCCCTTCTGGCAGTGAGATTTTAATTAGATGTAAACGAGTCTATATTAAACTCACACGCCACTTTTATTTTTTTTTACCTAAAAATAAGTCTAAGTAAATTGCATTCACTTTCAAATCTTGATCCATTACAACTCAGAGTCTGTAAAGACTTTTCTGTACTCTTTAGTATTTTACTCACTTTCTGTAATCTCTAAACAAAAATCCCTTTAAAAATTTATTTTTGGTAACTTTCTCAGGGCCTGTGCTTTATGTTAAATGGTTATTACAAACCTTATTGCGTTGGTTCTGATTGCTGTTTCTGAGAGTGGTAATAGTTGCATTTAACACGCTGCTAGGACTTTGGTCAGTTGGGCTCCTGCTCTTTCAGCTGGTTGCTCTGGTTCAGCCTGGAGCTCCCGTCCTGTTTGTTAGAACAGATGGACGATGTACAAAACCCTGAATGCACCCTTCAGGGTTCGAACACGTGTGTCTGTGTTTGATTCTGCGGTCACACGTGTGTGTGTATGAGCTGTTGAATTCAGATTATTTCTTGTTGTAAAACAAGTTCAATGTAATGCAGACCTTTTGAGAGGCTGGGTTGAACAGTTTGTGTATTCTGTTACTTCAGAATGCTGCTTGATGAAAATCTCTAGCAAACTTCTAGATAGTTCTGAGGAGAGTTAATGATAAACGGATGTGGGTAAGTAGTTAGATACAGAAACTTGAGCATTTGAAGATTGTAGATTGAATTTTGAATAATTTATGATAAAATACAGTTTCCAGAAAGTGTTAAAACTCTCCCTGCCATTGGAGTTTGTTGTAATGTTTCACATTGTAATTGTACAAAAATTTGTAGCTCATTGAAATGTACTTTAAGTATAGTAAAACTATTTTTGTTGCTTTTGTTAAAACTGCTGTAATGCAAATATTTTTCTCCTATAATTTAGTAAAAATCTAAAATTTAGTTAGGTCTCTGCCTCGTTGAACCAAATATTTGATGGATTTGAGGATGGTTGCCTTGGGTTTACCAACACAATAACTACTTGCACGGTTGCACTTACTATGAGGTCATGCAGACCCACATTCTTTTACAGAATTTGACAGCCTGACACATACTCGCTGCTATAAAAGAAAAAGCAGCTGTGAAGAAAAGCAATGTTAAAAGATGGGGTTATAATCGAGCACACACCTCTCTATCTACATCTCCCTCGCACACATTGTAGCGCGAAAGCTCTCCATTCTCTCGTCTCCCTCCCTCTCTTTCCCTTCGCCTTTTTTTGCAGGCTGCTCTGCAAAGTTATATGAAGGGCATCAGGCAGGCCTGGCGAGCCGAGTGCAGAGTGACAGCGGCGAACGGAATGATGGCTCGGCCTGATAAACACCCAGCGTCAAATGAAAAGGCTCTACGCTTGCCATCATCCCCTGTCACAATGCAATTACTGAACAGAGTGATAGCAAGATAGCAGCCCCCACCGCTAGCCACAATGATAAAAGTATTGACTGATTTGATTGAATGATTAAAATAATGCAGACATAAAAATGGGGTGAAGATAGGGAGGAAAATGGCAGAGAGGAGAGGGAGAAATGGAGAGACACGGGCTGGGCTGCCAGGAGTGAAGCTTTGTAGATATGGTTATGTCATTATTGTCTGTGTGCGTTCAGATGTTTGCTTCATCTAAGAGTGCTTTTGGGTTTGTTCTATTGTTCTGTGTTGTTTAATTTCTCTGTCTCGTTCCTGTCTCCCTGGTTCTCAGGTTGCCGTTTCTGCTGACGTGAAGGAAGTTCTGCTATCAGATGGGAATGAGAAGTCCATTCAGAGTATCCTTTCATCGTCCCCTCTCTCTTCTTTCTGTCTCTCCATCTTTGCCTCATTCCCCTTAACTCACATTTATTCACGAGCGGTCGCATGAATTTGTTTCTGCAAATACTTTGTCTTTTTGGGAGGGAGTTTAGTGTTTGATCGTACATTCCTTTGGATAAAAATCGCACATGCATCCCTCCCATGAACTGTAATTTAGTCCTTTGTTTGATCCTTTAATTAAAATGTCCACCTCCAAAAGGAAATGTGAGGAAAGATGCAGCTCCTATTGAAAACATTTATTTTTTATTAGGGTCAAAATGATTATTGCAGATGATGCTTTGGTTATATTGATCCCTCATCTCCAGCTTCCACTGGGCAGGTGGAATAAAAAAGAAGCATCTAATTCACTACATGTCGTAGGACATGGGTGGATTGTTGATTTCAAATTGTGAAGGATTTATTGCTTGAATAGGAAGATTTTCAAATGTGTTGTTGAGGTCTTATTCACAGGAAAGAGAATAATGGGATAGGAGAGTGACAGGTGGATCAGCGCAGCCTCTGCAGTGATGCTGTCACTGGCAAGTCTTGTCAAATAGTGAGAACTGAGCCAACAGACAAATTTATTGAATTAATAATCAATATAAGTCTTTAAATGTAGTCAAAAATTGAGTTTGGTGCTTCATAATTTAAAAAATATTTTAACTGCAGCTGAGTTTTGGCCACATGTGCCCAATCCTTTAAGAACTGAGTGTGAGCACTGATTAACACAGCCCAGAATCACTGTCTGCATGCGTAGTCATAAATCATCGTATTATTGTTCTTACCCATTAACTGGTGCTAAAACGTAAAAAAAACATCAACAATAATGCATGCTGTGTGACCCTTAAATGTAGTTTTCCACTGGAGCTTCAGTGACAGAAAAGTGACAGATTTAATGCTTCAGCCTTAAGTCGGAGAATGCGTTCGTCTGGAGAAGAATAGCCAGCCACCTCTTTCATCTTGTGGCAAAATCAGAGGATGGGGCACCTACCAATCCCAGCTGCCACAATGCCAAGTTAAGAGCACAGTAATTGCCATCCTGTCAGATTTAGTTGGAGACTTTATCTAATGCCGAGGCTAGAGTTAGAGCTTGATGTGTTCTCTTAGGAGCAGGAACAATCAAGGTTTGTGTAAAATGCTGTTTTGTGTCTTAAAGGTTTATAATTAAGGTTTTTCTTAACAAATATTTAGGTGAGGTATTTTTGGATGACATTTGTTTTTGTTTTTTTTCAGTGGGTTATTGATCAACTCTTCCAGTTTTATAAATATCATGGTCTTTTTTGTATTTTCCACACATTTTTGCACTTGAAATTCTTTGTTGCCTTTACACCGTTATCTTTTGGAATTTTTTTTTTCTCCAATCCTTTTAGATCTTGTTTTAATCCATGAGCTGCTACAAAGATGTGAAAAAGAAACTTGTTGCATTTGGTTGACAAAAGAAGGAAATATAAATACACATTTCTCTCCCATTGACTAGTATGGCTCCTCCAAATTTAGCTCAGCTTACAATATCTCTGTCTCAGCCCGCTACAATGCTGCTTTACCGATGACAATAAGACCAAACAATAACATTTTGGAGTCTGTAAAACACACACTTGGACACATAAACAATGTTCCATTGACCGACCGCTTTGTTTCCCAGAACAAACACATGGGAAGAATTGTAAGTGAAATCATAGCGAAAATGGATCAAATGCGCACGGAAAGAAAAGAGAGGGCTGAGAAAAGACCCGATTTGTTTTTGGCTCAGTCCAATTGGACCATTCACAGTCTGTACACACTTTGTGGTATTTCCTCTTGTTGAGGAAACTTTTGGTCTGAGCCTTGTGCTAATGGCCTTTGTTTATCTCTCATGGCTTTATTTCACAACAAGTGTTAGAATGGAAAGCGATGGTGAGCTGTGATAGGGTTCAGATAGGGTTTTACATTGAAATAGATGAGAAGATATGGGGGGGTGGACAGATGACAATTACTGTAGCTGAATCAAGAGAATAGATTTTTCCTCTTTTCTTAGAAGTTGTTGACCTCGTTTGTTGTCCAAAACACACAATCGCATGCACACACAGAGCGGAGAGCAGAAACTCTGTTCCTCTGACCTTGAATACTCATGTAGAAAATCAATTGAAATGTTCCATTAAGAATGATTGATGCATGTCATTGCTTGCTGCTTGCCTGCCTCAAGTGATGGAAGCAAATGTTTTTCCACTTTAATGTTCAATAAGTCTCAAATCTTTATTTGATGTTTGACTTTTTATTGCTCTTTGTGGTTGCATGTGGACATGCATACGTGTGTGTGTGCACGTGAATCTGTTGAACCCAACCATATACCAGTGATGACATCGCTGAAAGCTTTGCTGCTTTTTGTCCCTTCGTGGTCACGCACAACACACTCCTGTTCAAGTGTGTATGCGCTGTTTATTTATGTTAAATGCCCTTTGCGTATACATATTTGTGTTTCTGTGTGACCTCTTACAACTTTGATTGGCTTTCCAGCTATCAATTTATCTATCAGTTTGTCACACATTCCTGCCCTCACCATCCATCTCTCTTTTTTTTCTGTCAATTGGATTTGTCTCAGCTCTTTGCCGGCTTTAAAGACAAGAAAATCCTAATTGAATTGCTTTGCAACTCCAGTAGCCGCTGCATTAATAGAGAACTTGACATCAATCACCCTGCTTTTGTGTGTCTTCATCTGTGTGTGTGTGTGTGTGTGTGTGTGTGTGTGTGTGTG